CTAACCTTAATTCCTCTAAGAAAAAAACAACTAAAGAACCAACAGAAACCAGATCACAGGGCATGTTCATGAACATAGTCATGTTCATCAGAAAGTGGGTCATAAGCCAGATCTCTAACCCCAATAATTGCCACAAAGGAGATATGATTTGAGAAGGGTAAGGGTTACAGGCCAAATTCAGTGCAGATACTCACTGGATAAATTAGGATTTGCACCTCATTTTCATAGAGATGATATTAGTTCACCAGTATTTCATATTTCCCCAGGCTTTGCTGCTATTGATGATGTGATTTATTTTTTTATTTTTTTGTGATTGGGGTTATTTGTTTTAACCTTGGGCACCATGGACCATGTTGTAGTTGCTCTTTTAATCCTTGTAACCGCCCAGACTATTGTGAGATGGGCAGCCATATGCACCATTTCAATCAACAGATATTGATTCTATTGGCGTGCTTGCAATGATACTGTATTGGCCATCCAAATATTTAAAATGTTGAAATAAGTCAGCAGTTACTTTGCAATTTGCAGCGAAATATGATATGTATGTTAGAATGTGTGTTCTATACTTTTTTTAAAATTGGCCTGAGGTTGGGATGATTGAGAAACTAATAAATGGGAAAAAAGAGTCTGCAAACCTAAAGTACATCTACTACAACATATGACTGATGTAACATAAAGCACTGTAGAAAAGAATTTTAGTTTCCAGGAGAAAGCAGACACTTGGATACAATACAAATAGGACTGAGCTGGTGTGTGTATTTTAGAACTTAAAATGATACATGCCCAGGTCTAACTTTAATGGGGAAATGATGACAGAAAGCACATGGCAAACTCGTCCTTTCCTTGAAACTCGTCCATGTGCAGTTGGAATCACAAAGTTAACCATGAAAGAATCAGATGTGGGCGGAGAAGATACTTAGATAGTTCTCGATACAGAAACCTGGCTGGAGTGCCAAAGGCAGGGAGGGACAGAAGATCAAATTAGGTCATCTGTGTAGGTAGTGCTAGTAGTAAAGTGATACTTAAAAGCATGGAATATCTGTGTCACCAGAAATCTCTCTCTCTCTCTTTAATGTGCAAAATCTCTGTTCGAGTACCTGGCAGCTTCATCTCTTGACTTCTAGTTATACTTCTGTCATTCTTCCTTACCTGTACAAAATCTACATCGAGCTTGTTTGAATCAGCTTCTTTTCTTTTGCATAGTAAAACTTTCCCAAAGTTGTGCCCTCTATATATGCTGAATTTTTATTCTCACAAGCTCCCAGCCAGAATAACAATATTTGAAGTATTGATTGGATAGGAGATGATGCATCTAGCATTCAACACAGGTTGGAAAGGATGATGACTAGAGGTTTATTTGTTTGTTTGCTTGTTTCATAGTTTTAATGGTTTTAAAAAAGGAAAATAGAGAACAGTGATATGTTTCAATGTCTGTAGCTAAAAGTTTCCAGCAAAGAAGAATATGCAAGTTTTGCTGCAGTTTAAAGAGGTGAATCCAGGTAGTACTTGTTTAGCGACTGCCTCGTACAGTAACCATTCAAAGTTATGACAGTGATGAAAAAGTAACTTTGCAACCAATCCTTGTACTGTATTTACAACCTTCACAGGTCTGTAAAGCAAAGGAAAGCTGAAGTAAGATCATAAGCAGAGTCACGATTTCACTTCATTTCACTTCAATTAACAACCAAGTTGCTGGTCCCAATTCTGGTTGCTAAATGAGGATTACCTGTATTTCATCCAAGAGTCTCAAGGGTACACAGTTTGCTTTGTTTCACAGAATGGGAAATGCTATAGATGCAATGTTGCAGGTGGAGGTGGATGCTGTGGCCAGAGGACTCTGCACAACTTTGGATGATGTACCTGTTGCAGACTTATCTGGAGTGGGAGCCCCTGGCATCAGTAACTCATGCCCTTATCACTTATACTATTATAAGTGATTATAATATTATTATAATTATACTAAAGGGAGATGTGATGGCAAAAGTTTAGGAACCCATGACTTAAAACCTGCAGTTAGCTTAGAAGCCTCTATAGCAGTGTTTCTCAACCTTGGCAACTTTAAGATGTGTGGACTTCAACTCCCAGAATTCCCCAGCCAGCATGCTCTATAGCCTTATTATATAGTGTTATGGGCACTGTATTGATTTCCAATAGGTTTCCTGGTCCAATTCTAAGTGATGGCTGTAACCATTAAAACCCTTCCTGGCTTGACTCCATATTTCATTCCTCTGGGTAGAACCAGCCCATCTGGTAGATTTGAGCCAGATAGAGGGGATCATAATTTCCCGTGCATTAGATGAGAAATGTGGGGGCCTCAAGGCAGCGTTTGTTGAACAGCGTCCTCCAGAGATTTGGGTGCCTCTACTCTGATGTCTTTTAGGAACCCCTTTAAATGGAAAATTTCGACTGAGCATTTGAAACTGGATGATTTTATTAATTATTGGGATGGGCACCATGTTTTTTTACAGCTCAATATATTATTTTGCTGTTTTATGCTGATTTTGTTTTCTGCTGTTATTGTAAACTGCAGGGAGCTAATGCTAATTTAATAAATGCAATAAACTAAAACACATATTCCATGTTTGACTCATATATCTGCTTCCTCCTCCTGAGCATCGTCTGCTAGTACTGTAGTACTCAGAGGCCTATTTTGTACAGATGTTGTTTCTAGAAACCATGGATTTTTTAAGCAACCAAAATGGTACATTTTGTAATACTGCATAGGTTTGAACTTACCCAAAGCCTTTTAAATGGTTATGTGGATTCTGAATGTCTCAGTATCATTGTTACATTATGAGCATTTTTTGGCATGATTATTTGTGAAGGAAAGAGATGTAATTCATTTTCCCTGCTCAGCCACATTCCAAGGATATTCTCACATACTCTCTGCCATTTGCTTTTAAAAATTAGTATTAGTATTAACAATAATTAGTATTATTAGTATATTACTATAGTATATTAGGAAGACCCTACTATTATGAAGTTATGTGACACTCTGCCCAGTAATATACATCTTCACCTCCAATTCCTTGCTCTTCTGAACCCAATATCAAATATCAAACATGATCACAAATTATAATCTACTCAAGCTTCTGTATTTCACCCCTTTTGTTCTATTCTCCATCCAGGCATTTGCTGTACTCACATTATGTTATTTCAGATATTTTCTTATGGACTGCAGGGTACAGAATGTGAGTGATATACCTTTTTGATGATAGCTCAAACATGGATTTTGGCTAAGTTGGTTGGCAATTCTGGACATTTCAGCTCCAAAACATTTGGAGGCCCCGGGTTGGGGAGTAGTTGCCACACTGCCAGTCCTACTCCTGACATCAGGACTGTGCTGGTCACCGGATGTTCTTGTGTTAATGTAGTGAAATGTGGAGAAGAAAAAAACCTATACATGAGTAGTTTCCTTTGGCATCATTGTGAAATGATGGACAAAATTGTCAACGCTGTAAGAGCTTAACAGCTTTGCTGGAGTAGGTGAAGCTATTTATTATGACCCTAACCTTTTCCTGATTAATTACAGGTATTTCAGATACTATCAGACTACTGTATATGTGCAATTAGGATTTTTTACCCCAATATGCATCTTTTATATTTACCTAGAATGCATCATATTTGCATTATGATTGACCAAACAGTTTAAAGAGATCCTTCTTGTGGTGCTGTTCATAGTAGCTTTTGTTTTTAAATTTTCTTTATTTTAAAAAAATGTAAACTAAGAAAAATAAAACAATAAAGAGCAAAAAGAGCAAAGCAACATGTGTGTGTACTTTTTATACATACAAATATGTATTTAAAGTTTTATACAAGTTTCAGTAAAGGATGACCACCATATTTCATTGTAATCATCCATACTTTATCTACCTCTGTAAACAACTCATTCATAAGTCACAAGTAGCCTCTGGTCTTCAATCCATTAAATAACTGGGGCCATAAATTTATCTTTCCAATGTTGAAAGAATCTCTTAGCAATAAAAATGGTGGGGAGAAACCATTACCATCGTCTAGCTGTCAGTTTCCATGTAATAGATAAGGTAGTCCTCAACTTACGATCATTTGTTTAATGACCGTTTGAAGTTACGAGGGCACTGAAAAAAGTGACTTATGACTGGTCCTCACACCTATGACTGTCAGTGTCCCTGCAGTCATATGATCAAAATTTGGGTGCTTGGCAATTGGCATGTATTTACGATGGTTGCAGCATCCCGGGTCATGTGATTGCCATTTGTGAACTTCCCAGGGGGCTTATGACAAACAAGTCAATGGGGGAAGCCAGAGTCACTTAACAACCGTGGCAAAAAAGGTCACAAAATTGGGCGCGACTCACTTAATGACTGCATCACTTAGTCCCAGTCCCAGTTGTGGTCGTAAGTCAAGAACTACCTACAGTATATGTGGATCAAAAGAATATGGTTGTCTGAAAATATTAAACCCTGTCTCAAATTCAAATTAATATGTGCAATAACTTCTTCCAAGAAAATAACCTTATGACATTGCAAAACATGTACTTTAATGAAGCATTATTGCATATCCAGCAACACAATGATTTACTTATTCCTTTTCTATACAATGGAATGGGGTCCAATAAGTCCAAAATAAATTGTAATCTAAGATCTATTGACTTTTTTATAGTGAAGTTAAAACAGTTCACTGTTGTTTAAATGAAATGGGGTCTCCAATTCCTTGTTCCATTCAGTCTTTAAACTTTGTATATCAAATTGATGTATTGATCACAAGTATTTATAAAAATTAATTCTGGGCTTTTTTGTCTCTCAAGATATAATTATCATGTGTTAATTATTATTCAGAAGTGCCACTAGTCCAAGTCAAGTTGTCGGTAAATGTTGTAGTTGTAAATACCGCCAGTTGGTGGCAACAGACAAGTGATATTTATCTTTTAACATAGGAAATGATGACAATTCATGCTTACCATTGAACTAAAGTAAAAAGTAAAGTAAAAATCATACAAACGTTCCATATAATAGGGGTTTTTTTGGTTAGTTTTTAATCAATTTTAAGGTCTATAGCATACATTTGGTGTGAGAAAAAAATGCCACAATGCAATTTTCCAGAAATAGTATACTGCAATTTTTAATCAACATAATATTGACAGAAGCTAAATCTATATTTTGAACCCAAAACAGCCCAATTAACTAACAGTGCTATGTATGAATATTCAAAGAGACCAGGAAGGAGAATTTAGATTAAGCGAAGCTGTCCAAAATTTGGTACTACTCAGAAAGAATGCGTAATAAGATCTGGGAAATAAAAGCCTCCATCTTTAACTGAAACCTGCACCGTTTTCATATATATATATATTCAGAACTGAGGAAACTCGGACACATTTATAAAACAGTTTTTCAGTGTTTTCCAAATAAATATGGGAATTCTGCACAAAATAGAAAGCATCCTGGAAATTAGATTCATTGTGAGGGTATTTATCACACCCCAAAATTTTAAAGATGCCCATCTACAACATCCAAGGAAACTTCTTTAGATATCTTATTCATATTTAATATATTTATTTGAGAAATATAACATGGGATAAGAATACCTAAGTTAATAAATTCAGTACATAAACTAATCTTTGCCTATTGGCATCAATTCTGATTTAGACCAGTTAATAGAGTATCCTGCAATTAATCAAGCGCATTAGACCTGAATCAGTGAATGAAGTTCCGAAACAAACACAGAATATCATCAACATATAATGTCAATGCATACTCTAATCAATTATACAGTACAACCCAAGGGTAATTATCTTGTTTGATAGCACAAGCTAAGAGTTCTAAACAAATACCAAAAATCAAAGAAAAAAGTAAATATCCTTGTCTTTATACAATAAAAAAGTACATGAAGCTGTCGCTTTAGATCTGGGACTGCATGCAAAATCTGGACCCATTTTATAGATCCTTCTGGAATCCAAATTTAGTTAAGGTAACATACATTTACCATCAATACATTTTATCAAAATCTTTTTCCATTCAACTGATACTGTAGAATTGCAGCTTTGTGTTTTCTGTCTTTGTTCAGATCAATTAAATCCACTGCCAGCCAAATATTATTTGAACTATGTCTAGTTTTGACAAACCCAACTGGATCATTCCTGTCCCAAGAAGAAAACAGTTGAAGTCTATTGACTGTAAGAGCAGTTAAAATGTTAATATCTACGATAATCAAGGAATAGGACAATAGCTCAAAACATATGATTTTTACCACGTTTTACTAAAACTGTGACATACGCTTCATGAATGAAGATAAAATACTGTTCTCAAAAATGTTGTTATATAGTTGACACAGTGTAGGAGCAAGTTTTATACCATTCCATAGGAAAGCCATGCAATTACCATTAGTCATACTCAAAATCATTTTTTAAATCTTATCTGTAGTCAAACGAGTAACTGTTCTTGTAAGGAATCTAAATGTGGAAGATCAGTTGTATCTAAAAATGCCTCTATATCTACATCAGCTAGATTTTCAGGTTCACTATAGAAGACTAGGTGAAATTTAAAACACTGAAAATGTTTATCATTTTTAGTTTATAGCACCCTGTATTGTTTGGTCTCATCTATACATTTGACCAGCTCCTGCTTACCCTAAAGCCAAGATTATTTATGAACAAGTTAAAAAGCACCCACATCTCATTTTTCAGTGCAACTGGGACTATTCCATTGGAACATATAAAATAACCACCGCTGATCCTAGTTCAGCTTTCCAGTTAGAGCGGAAGTTAAAGTGGCTGACTCAGCAGGAAATAAGCTACGCTCAGTGGGGTAAACACAGTGTCAGGAAAACCGAGAAAGCAAGTGTCAAACGGTGGGTTTAATTTATCAGGGCATGCAGGGTTTGTGAGGAGAAAACTTCAGACCACTGTAGAATAAATATTATTTTGATTGTTTTCCTTAACAGCGTTTTGGCTTGCACCGTTAACGTTTTTATTCAATAGCACCATGTCCCAGGAAAACAATATAGAAGGTAATTTTTCAGAGTAATTGTTCAGCAAAATACTTCAGTCTTCCCTCTACACAGAGATCGTTCTTATGGCTTGACTTGTATAATTTCTTCAGCTGCAGGCATGCTTCGTATTTTCAGATCCATAGCTATAACACAGAAATATAACCGTATCATCCAGCAGTTTATTAACCTTCACCCCCAAAATACATCTGAACAACAACTGAAAGCCTTTTCTTAATAACATTTTTTGTTAATGATTCAGGTCAAATGATTTACTCTGGACATCATTTTTGCATCAATGGGGTCCTCAGCTGCTAAATATCACAAGCAGACCAATGGGCCATGAACAATTTGCACATTACTCATAAATCATCCAGTGCGTTTAGATTTGATATCATACATCAAATGTGTGGGGAATTTGGACACTGTCATATTGGGTTAAACCATCTCTAACTGCTACCACTGTGACTGTCTCAGTTGTTGCCCCCATCTTTGCTATGAATCGCCTTAGTTTCCTCAGCAGTGACAAGCTAGGAGAGAAAGGAGAATGTGACTTGTTATGATTATGAGCCATGAACTGATATGTGGCTCAATACGATGTGGGCAGTGAAGATAATGTTATGTACAAAAACGTGCTATGGGATGTGCGAGGGTTCCTATGAGATCTGTATCTGCTGTTATTATAAACCTCAGTGGTTCCATTGGAAGGAAGAATAAACAAAAATAAAGGGAAGATATTGTGATTGATTTGAGAGCAGCATCCTAAGTCTAAGATTTTTACACACAGTGAAATAAATACTTTCTCAAAACTTCTATATGTGTTCCATTATTTTACCATATATTGCATTCATCCATTGTTGTAATTCTATTCTGGAATGCTGATGAGGTTTTGAGGCTGGATGGAGACTGGAGACTACATAATGACCAAGTATAGTTAAGTTACATGCTGTACTGTGTAATTTATTGTGAAAAGCATATGTTTTGCATTTTTCAAATTCACTTAACTGGAAATAACAGTGATGTTTGGTTTTTTGTCTCTCTCTGCCTCTATAAAAATGGCTGCACAGGGAGTCCTTGTTTAACGTCCACTTGTTCAGTCACTGTTCAAAGTTTCGACAGTGCTAAACAAGTGTACTTACAATGGGTGATCATGGTTTCAGCTATTGCAAGGTCCCCATGGCCACATGATCACGATTTGGGTACTCAGCAACTGGATTTCAATTATGATGTCACAGCATCTCACGATCACGTGATCACTATTTGTGACCCTCACTGCTGGCTTCCAATGAATAAAATCAATGGGGAAGCTGGCAGGGGGTCGCAAATGACAATCACATGACTGCAGGATACTATGACCACGTGAGATTCACTTAACAACGGCAACTGGGATTGCCAGAACTGCCACTGTAAGTCACTGCTTAGTGACGGAGTTCCAGGTCCCAATTACTGTTGGTAAGTGAGGACAACCTATAAAGCTATTGCTGATGTTATTCATTATCATATAGCATCCAAAGAATAGACATTGCAAAAATAAATACAATCCACAACCCACAACCATTATCACCAGAACTTCCAACTGTGGCAGAAAATTATGGCTCTTCATCACAGAACAGTCCAGGACACTCTGAATCCATAAAGCTACTAGTGTAGATGAATTCTCATTTACAGATTATGCTTTATTTGGTTAAGCTTATAAAACATTAACAGTTGTGGTGGTTATTTAGACAGGCTGGCGCTGCCAACAGGGAAGCTAGATAAATATCCAGGAATCCATGTGATCTAATCAAGTTTTATCTAAGACCCAAGGAAACAGTGGAAGAGAGGGCAAGAACAAATTAGGTGCTTACACTTCGTGCAGAACCATAACTAGTTAACGCTTTTGCCAGCAAAATTTACCATAGATAATCATGAGACGTACAATCTATGACACTGTCCATTTTAAGAAAAATGCTGAGATCTATTCCCAGGCAGTAAGAACTTACATTTGCCACTCAGCACCTCTTGTTGTTGTAAGAAGATGCATCTTTAGCCTGAGTTAACGATAAAATAAAATTAGTAATTACTTTGCTAATGTCTGTGATTATTGCCATCACATTTCTGTTCTCCCCAGAGATAATCAGATAACTGCTTCTCCACAAATGACCACAGTAAACCAAATTGTTACACTCCAGAAGGGTTGTCTGAATTACAAAATTATGCCAGCTGAAAACCTGGTCTTGCCAATTCAAATTAAGAAAAACAGAGTGGATTTGGCTGTAGTATGTATCTAGATGATTTGGTATTCCCTTTTCTCCTGACTTTCTCTGCCACAAGACCAAAGAAAAATCAGTAACTTTTTTCTTTTATTATCAATTAATTGGATAGGAATGGCGCCCTTGTAATCAACAATGCCCTCTGTGTCCCTACAATATTGTGGGGCTTGGAAGCTAAGCCAATAAATAATAACAATTGTTTATTGGCTTAGCTTCCAAGCCCCACAAATAATTATAAATAATTAATTATTTACTGGCTTAGGTCTTGTTCCAGAGGAAAAGCTACAAAAGACTGTTTGCTATATATCATTTCAAGCTGTTTCTTCTTAGCGGGAATTCCCATCTCCAGCTTCCTGTGATTTCCTCCTGCAAGCCAAAATGCCACAGCACTGAGGTAGCTCTGCCTTCCTTCCTGTCACAGTGGCCAATTGGAATTTGGCGTGGTGGTGGACAAATGTGATGCAGGAAGTAGAAGAGAAGGTGCAAGGCGCCATTTGGCTGCTATTTTTTGTACCTTTCATTGACCAGCTAGTAGGAACCTTATCTGGCTTGATGGGACAACTGAGCATAGCAGTGAGAAGGACATTCAGCCAGTACTGAGAAATTGCTGCCAAGGGTCATAGGCACATGGCTGGGTGGAAGTGCCCTAAAATGATGATGAAGCATTCACATTTGATTACCAACTGTGAAAGATCAGCAGAGAAGACACCAGGGAATAATATAACATTATGTTTATGCCTGAAAGCACCCATAGAAATCTTCTGATAAATTCTTCCAGAGAGATTGTCTCAAGAACTGTTCACCAATTAGAAAGAAAAAGTAAAAAAAAAACAAGCTTTCCAACTTGGTAGTTTTAAGATGCTTGGCCCTGTAGAAAAAAATCAGTGAGCCAGTCATTACAAATAATTGCTACTATTTCAAATCAATTCATTTTTTTTTTTTTACTTTTTTGGAGTAGTTACAGCCTTGTCAAAAGAACTCAAGTAAGAAAATCATGGAAGAGCTAAGAGATATTAAGTACACAATGGCTCAAATTTATGATCAGATTTTTAATCTTTGCAATTTCTCTTTTAAAGGGATAATGTCACATTAAAGATTTATATGGGGGGAAAATGGTTTGTACATACTGGCTGCATCTTGACATCCCGTAAAATAGGCTTCCCCAGCCTACTTCATAGTTTAATGCATATGTACCCAGTTTTTAATTCCTAACATGAAATGGAATGTAAGATTTTCATATTTGCACGTTTCTGCAAGTTGTGTTCCAGTTCTTCAATCGAAAAATGTGTATAATATGTATAAATTAAAATAATGTATCCAGAAATATCATAAGCATTTTTGGCTAAGAACTGTACATTAGAAGAAGAGTATATGACATGTGTATTTGAAC